GCCATGTCCTTGGGCGTCTTCTCCGGATCGGATGATGTTTGCTTTGGGGTTCTGACGGAGGGCCGCCATGTCCCAGTGCAAAGCATTCAGTACGCGGTTGGCCAGATAGCCAACATGGCAGTGTGTCGAGTACGTCTGACGCCGCATGTATCCCTTGACCAGGCTGCTCTTTCTCTACAAGAAAGCTATGGCCACATCCTATCCTTCCAAACCTTCCCGTTATCGGAGATTGCACGAGCAGCAGGTGTCACGGTGCAAGAGCTGGCATCTACTGCCATCAGCGTACAGTATGCCCTTCCGGATATCGGATCAGAACAATCTAAATGCTCCCTTACGCTCGAACCAGTTGGTGGACTTGATCCAACTTCGGTGAGTAGTCTCTTCCATCCTTTGTCAAGTTGTGTTGCCATATTATTCGAAGACGAGACAAACACAGAACTACAGAGAACCAGTTCATTACGCATCCTTACATAGCAGTTAGTCAGGGCTCTTACTAACCCGAGATAAAATCAACAGCAAGACATTATGCTCTATGCCTTGATAGACCAACATGGAGGTGTGCGAGTGTCTATGTCATATCGCCCCTCTCGAGTCTCAACCGTCATGGCCACGCAATTAGCAGACTACTTTTCTGAGGCTGTTTCAGTTATCCTTCGTAATCCCTGTGCGAAGATCGGCGAATTAAACCTTCTAAGTGTCAATGACCATGAGCGATTGCTGCGTTGGAACACTGCACTGTGCGAGCCACAACTCCAATGTGTACATCAAGCAATTACCCAATATGCCCGGCGACAGCCGAGGGCTCTGGCTGTTTGTGGATTCGATGGGTCTTTCAGCTATGCTGAGTTGGAAAGCCAGAGTACACAATTGGCTGAATCTATGGTCGCCCGGGGAGTAACGCCAACGACATACGTTCCTCTATGTTTTGAAAAGTCACGATGGACGACAGTGGCGATGTTGGCTGTGATGAAGGCCGGTGGTACTTTCGTGCCATTAGACCCAACACATCCTATCACCAGGCTTCAGGAGCTTTGCCGGCGCGTAGATGCACGCTTTGTGCTTACTTCAGTGGCTCAAGCACATATGGGTCCGAAGTTAGCAGACGACGCAATTGTGGTGGGGGATGGGAACTATGACCACCGCGCGAGAACGACGAACATACCGGAAATGGTTGATCCAGAAAAACCAGCGTATGTGCTCTTCACGTCAGGAACTACTGGATCTCCGAAAGGAGTGATGATCCCACATGTATCGTTTCTTGCTGCTGCTCAGGCGCAGATGCGAGCGTTCTCCATTGGCCTCGGGTCCCGCGTGTTACAATTCTCTTCATACGCATTTGATGTGTCTGTGATGGAAATCCTCACGACGTTAATTGCGGGAGGTACAGTGTGCGTCATTTCCGAACCAGAGCGCAGTCGCATGCTGCTGGATGGTGTATGTCCGATAACAGTTACCCACGCATTTTTGACGCCATCCATTGCTGGAATGCTGGACGCCAGCAGAGCATCTTGGATAGAAACACTTGTTCTCCTGGGCGAACCCATGTCCACCTCGCATATTCAACAATGGGCTAATGTCTGTCACTTGATGAACGCGTACGGACCAACCGAGTGCTCTGTCTTGAATACCGCAACATCCCGTATTGTCCCCGGCTGCGATCCGAAGGACATGGGCTACGCACTAGGGGTACACTTCTGGGTGGTCGACCAGAATGACCACCATCGACTACTTCCCATCGGTGCTGTTGGAGAGCTGGTTATCGGTGGTCCACCCGTCGGTTTGGGCTACATCAATGACCCCAAGAGGACTGCCGACGCCTTCATTGAGCCTCCTAGTTGGTTGCAATCACTCTTCCCGAAGGACATATCTTTCTGGCGTCTGTACAAGACTGGTGACTTGGTCCGATATAACACCTCTGATGGTACTTTACGATACGAAGGCCGCAAAGACCGACAGATCAAGGTGCGTGGGCAGCGCGTAGAGCTCGAGGATATCGAGTATCATACGGCCCGTTGCTTTCCTGGGGCAACAGACGTAGTTACCGAGCAGATCGTGCTCCCGCAGGATTCAGCACCGGCTTCGGGTGGTGAGCCCTCCGTGCACTCACGAATAGTCGCCTGTGTCCACCGGAAAGGCCTCGCTGAACAGTCAGCGTCGAATTCCTCGCCAGAGCGTGACGTGTTAGCCGCCCCAAGCCGGGGATTCGACGACGACGCAGCGATCGGAGCCCAACGGCTTCGAGAGGTCCTCCCCAGCTTCATGGTTCCTGATATGTTCTTACCCATGGTCCATGTCCCACGTCAAAAATCAGGCAAGACAGATCGTCGACGTTTGCGAGAGGCAATAGTAGCACTCCGCCCCAAGGATTGCCAATCCGCCTCATGCATCACAGAACCAAGCAAGCGATCACTTCAAACCCCCACTGAGAAGAAGTTCCATATGATTTTAAGCCAGCTTCTCAAGCTCGCTCCGCATATGATCGGTGCCGATGACAGCCTCTTCCATCTTGGCGGCGATTCGATTATCGCTATGAAGATTGCCGCCCATGCCCAGGCTGCTGGTCTTGATATCAACCCTCATGAAGTCCTTCGAAATCCTACTATTCGGAGCTGGGCTTGTGTCGTAGATGGGAAACATGCCCCAGTTGCTGTTGCACCAAAGAGCCCGCCTATATCGCTTGTTGCGGACTCTCATTCGGCAGAAATCTTCCGGTCCTTCTTCAACAACGCGCCTCCTTTCAGCCATGATAATGTGCAGAGCATTCTGCCTGTACTGGACAATCAATCTTACTACCTAAATTCCTCGTCTATTGTGAACTTCGCAGAACTTTTCTCAACGTCTCTTGACACCAATCGTCTGCGGAAGGCATGCCACACAGTGGTATCCCAGTACAGCATTTTGCGGACGGTCTTTGTCACCGTGGACCACCAGTGCTTCCAGGTGATCCTACGGAACTTTGAGCCAGAGTTTACTGAAGTGGAAGTTGAGGATGCAGAAGTATACTTACAGTTGGAAACGAAGCGACAAATGACTCCGTCTACTCCACTGGGAACTGTTCCAGTAAGCTTCTCGGTCCTGACAAGCACATCTTCCACAAAATGCGCTTTTATTACGCGGATCTCCCATGCTCAGTACGATGGCGCTTGCCTCCCCATCCTCTGGAATGCGATTAAGTCCGCCTACAATGGGGAGCCACTACCAGCTGCCACCGGATTGACCGACGTTGTGCATCATCGACTGGGAAAAGAGCACGCTCGCAGTTTATCATTTTGGACAGACTACCTCCGAGGAGCTACCTCCACTGCTCTCGATCCGCTTTGCATTACTTCGCAACCCGATCCACCTGGAGACACTTTTTCGCCTACTACTGCCCGGAGAGAGATACGCCGGCCAGTGCCTATGGCTGGAGCAACGGTCGCTACGCTTATCAAGGCAGCTTTAGCGTGGCTCTTTGCACGATACCAATCGCAATATGATATAATCCTCGGCCAGGTGGTCCATGGGCGCGGGTCTGACCTTCCGAACATTGACAAGGTCTTTGGACCTTGCCTCACATTCCTCCCAATTCGCATCACTATCGATCCGAATTGGACGGTATCCGATCTCTTACGCCACACTCAAGCCCAGCAAGTTGCAACAGTACCGCACGATGCGGTAGCCCTCCGGGACATTGCTCGGCAATGCACCAATTGGCCGGAAGATGTCAAATTCGGATGTCTTGTGCATCATCAGCCCCTCCAATCGGCAAATGAGCCGTTGGCGCTAGGCGGCCTGAGTTCATATTCGAATATCACCTGGGCCAGCTCTCGGCCACCGGCTGGTCAGGTCGATGTGATCTCGATTGAGCGCCAGGACTCCCTTGATCTGGTCATCGCTAGTCCTAAAAATGTCCTAGATCAGACTAGCGTCGAGTGGATGGCAGATCGGTTATCAGAAGCCATTGAACTGTTCTGCCAACTTCCTCATCGTAACTTGACTGAGCTTGAACCGGACAGGGTAGACCCCGTGGATGTGCTCAAGGGGTTGTCTCCGTCTTTCCCTACACTAGTGTCGTCAGCAGAGTGCGAGTAAAAATCGCAGGACTGAAGACTTAATGAAAGACGTCAAGACAGAATGCCGTCTTCACATTAAAGAACCAGTGGGAAGTTTGTCGTGGCAACGTTGAAGCAGACTGAATCTGACGCATGGTTTAGATTCTGTGAAGTGATTTTCCTGGAGCTCCGATTTGGAAATCATGGCAATCTGTAGATTTATAATTAATGTGATAATGTTTTTGTCTATATTAATACTCAATCAAATGACTTTTGTTTATTGGAAAAAAAAAAAAAAAAAGAAAAGAAAAACGAAAAAGAAAAACTGTATTTCTGGAATCTTATCTGCACTATCACGGTCTACATATGGAGATGGTATATATTTTGATTCACTACCCCTAATGTTATGCACACCTATTTGCAAATACGTCTCTACGTTTTCTTGAAAGAACCTTCAGCAAATGAAGTTAAGTCTATATATATATATATATATATATTAAAATTAGTCTATAGACTTTGCGATCCATTTTCCGGAAGCAGTGCTATGGTTAGTCTCGTGAGGATGAACTAGTTAAAGTTCCTAATTTATACCCAGCGGCTCTCAGTCTTCATAGCTGCTTTTGTTATAGCTGATCTACCTGGCTAGTGGAGTAGCGTTTCAGTCCTTTGATACGGTCTTGGTTCTCTGGTCGAAATGTGAAGCTTACAATCAATCAGCCTTCTGTTTCGCTACGCCACGCCAAAATACCTCGACCCGTCTCTATGCCAGAGGTGCATGTGACAATGGTGGCCGAGGTACACATGGGTGGTTGGGAGTCAGGATTCTGGGAATCACTTGGATATTAATATATTTGATGGCATTGACCTAGGGTTGGGTTCAACCAAGGTATTGTGCTATTTAGTCAACTGTTTCGAAGTTCTTTAGGGCTGAGTCAGGCCGTCAGGCAACATGCCACCCGTTCCCAACATTTTAGCCCCAACGTCTTCTATGACAACATCCGTAGAGATTCACTCACTGCAATTCTCTCTAGATCCAATTGTTGAGCGAATATTTGAAAGAAACTTGAATCATGCCACTTGAAATTGTAGATCGTGTTCATATACATAGGAGCCCACTGCTGGCGTGGGATTATATTTACACACTTTCGCCCGCCAAACTTCGTGCCTTTCACCCCATCTTATTCTGGACCATTACACATTCTAGGCTATCATACTTGACCTCTAATGTCAAAGAGGCCCAAGATGGCACTCGATGCGAAATCACCAGCAGCTACTCCTCTAAACGATGGCACGACGGACTACGTTCCTATGAGAAAAAAGTACAACTCCAAGGAGCCGCACATAACTGAGCAACCCATCACTTGGGGCAACTGGTACAAGCATGTAAATTGGCTGAACTGTTTCTTTATTCTCTTAATCCCCTTCCTAGGCTGTCTTGGAGCCTATTGGACACCTCTCCAGCTCTATACGGGCATCTTCGCCGTTGTATACTATTTCAACGCAGGTCTTGGCATCACGGCCGGTATGATTAACTCCCTTACCGCGACCTCTCATCCATTTGTCTGACTGAGTATAGGATACCACCGCTGCTGGGCCCACAGATGCTACAAAGCAACCCTCCCATTAAGGATCTACCTTGCCGCCGCAGGAGCGGGTGCAGGACAAGGCTCGATCCGATGGTGGTCCCGAGGCCACCGGTCCCACCACCGGTACACCGACACAGAGAAGGACCCATACTCGGTCCAGAAAGGTTTCTGGTATTCGCATATTGGATGGATGGTGATAAAGCAGAACCCGAAACGGATCGGTCGCACGGACGTCACTGATCTCGACGCCGATCCTGTCGTCGTCTGGCAGCACACCAACTATATCAAGTCAGCTCTGTTCATGTGTCTCGTGTTCCCAACTTTAGTCTGCGGCTTTGGCTGGGGTGATTGGCTTGGGGGGTTCATCTATGGTGGAATCCTTCGCGTCTTCTTTATTCAACAGGCCACCTTCTGCGTCAATTCTCTTGCCCATTGGATCGGCGAACAACCCTTCGATGATCGCAATTCCCCAAGAGACCATGTCATAACTGCCTTCGTCACCCTCGGTGAGGGCTACCATAACTTCCACCACGAGTTCCCATCGGACTACCGTAACGCGATCGAGTGGTGGCAGTACGATCCCACAAAATGGTCTATCTGGATCTGGAAACAGCTCGGTCTCGCCTACGACTTGAAACAATTCCGCCAGAATGAGATCGAAAAAGGTCGCATCCAACAGCTACAGAAGAAGCTAGATCAAAAGCGCTCTACTCTCGATTGGGGCATTCCCCTCGACCAGCTTCCCATAATGGACTGGGACGAGTTCGTTACCCAAGCCAAGAACGGCAGAGCCCTTGTTACTATCGGGGGCGTTATTCATGATATTACGAGTTTTATTAAGGAGCACCCCGGTGGCAAGGCATTCATTTCGTCGGCGGTTGGTAAAGACGCTACTGCTATCTTCAATGGCGGGGTTTATAACCATTCTAATGCCGCCCATAACTTGCTTTCGACCATGCGAGTCGCCGTTCTCCGTGGCGGGTGTGAGGTGGAGATTTGGAAGCGTTCTTTGCCGGATGGTAAGATGCCGATGCTGACGGACTCGGCTGCGCATTGTTCGTGCTGGAGATCAGGTTACTAGAACGGCGCAACCAGTTCCTATGATGAGTGCTGAAGCTAGATAAGACACGTGTTCCTTTTTCTTTGTTTTTTTTTTATTTTTTTTTTCTTTTTTCTAAGAATGCTCGATGAATAGCATGACCAATAATATTTATACCCTACTCCATTGCAAATACAGATATGTTGTATGTGCTCGCACCTGTTGAATCTATGCAACCTATCTTGCACTCATTGTAGAGAACCACAAAGGTTTATCGTAAATTTTAGCTAGCATAGAACTATGTCCCAGATAACAATTGCAAGAGCTCTGCAGTTTACGTAGAGTTCAGGTCATAGTAATGCAGCTTCAGGTGCACCAAGCGCTTCATTTACGCCTGACACCCGTTTTGCCATAACATACGGACAAATCGAGGCATCTCCAGCATTCTAGTACAATTCAGCCAGGCAGTTATAGATCTTTGATTAATTTGAAGGTCATGGTGAAAAGAAATTGGGTTTTGCCTCAGGAATGAATTGTGTGCCAAAGACCACATATGAGAATAACAATATCCCGGGGCTTTCTAACGGAATAATCGGTGAAACATGCCCCATAATAAATGAATACCAGCCAACAAACCATCTTTAAAAGGATTCGCCTGGGTCTGACGGTGGATTTGTATCTACCGAATGACCTGCCTACTCCTACTAGTGCCGAGGAATGAATGTGAGGTCATCTGGTGGAATGTCCCCACCATCTAGTAGATTTTATGTCTTAAATTACTAGCAATATACTCCGTAAATATTATCGAGCTTGTTCCCAAGGATTCCACCAGTGGTAACTGGCTGAATCTAGCAACGTTTCCTCGCACGGCCGTTACTCTCCGGGAAAATTGACGAATACCTGGTATTGGGTTGAGCAGGGCCCCATTTTGGCGCTCTCGGAAATGAACAGTGGGGCTTGGGCTTAGGTATACTTAGATACCGGATACCCACGGAGGTCCCTCAAAATCGCTGCTTCGGCGCTCTAAATTAGTGTGAACAGTCGGGTTTCAAACCGTTGTCTAACTAGGTAACGGTTAGGGCCTTTGGACCTGGCTAGATTAGTCTCCTAGTTGGTATCTCCTAAACGAAGACAATAGACCACTAACACACTAGACACTATCGTTCGTATGCAACGCTACACTACTAGTGCTAGAGACGACAGAGGTGCTTTCTAACATCAGGTTAATGACTAAAATGAGTCGTGTAATACACCTGTAACCACTATCTTCACTGGCTCGTGCAGTAGCAAACACAATTAACCACTCATGGGGTGGTCCCTGAGGATAGTTCCATTCTTAGGGCTCCATCGGATTGACCCACCAATCGTCGGCTAAGCTTTCTTGCCAAGTAGTGAGTTCCTTCTCTCTCGTTAATACGCCAGTTCAATCGTTGACATGTCGCCCCCATGTTACATCCAATAAATTGCTGGCTAGCCTTAGCACTACTCAGTGACTCATATACAATACTACACTTTAGGTATGCATCAATGCAGTACTTAGCGGAAATCATACTCTACTGACCAAGGACGATGGTCTCCTCAACCTCACTGGTGGAGACAACTACTCTTAGGCACATTCTCTCTCATTAGCAGCCCGGCTAGCATGAATGAGGAGCAATGATAATGCAGCCTGAAAGTGGCATCTTCCGATGCAGGGGCACTTCAATTCTAGTGTTGCCTACCTCTGCCCACTTCCCAGCTGCTCGACTTCTTTAAGCCTTCCTTCGCCTCGTCTCTGCCGGATACGTGTGTGTTGTGAGGTATTTCCACTCGCTTTCTGTCGTTTCGGTGCAGTTCCTGCTCTTGTTGCCCCTTTATAGTATCTCTTTTAATATAACGGAGTCTTTCATATCGAGTTTGCATATATTCACTTAGAATGCTCGTTAAAATGAGGTTTTCCACGGTGACTGGCGTCTCCCTGATGTCGGGGTCCGCCTTGGCCAGTATCCCACACATTGAGATCAAGGCAAGCCCAATTATGCCACTCCAGAAACATACTTTTCTAACCATACTATCGTACAGGGCTCTAAGTTTTTCTACTCCAACAACGGAACTGAATTGTGAGATCAACATTCCTTCTGTAGAAATCCAAAAACTGACCCAGCAATCTAGTTATATCCGAGGTGTAGCCTATCAGGGTATGTTTACCATCATATCATACCACCATCATTTCCAGATCTAACTCATACTTGTAGAGGATTATACTGGTGGCGGAGCTGGTGGAAACGGTCAATCCAGCAACAGCTACGTCGACCCTCTAGCAGACGCGTCCAGATGCGAGCGTGACATCCCCTATCTCCAGCAATTGCGGACGAACGTCATCCGGACCTACGCGGTCGACCCGACCCAGAATCATGACGACTGTATGCAAAATCTAGCCGATGCAGGAATCTATGTCATCACCGATCTGGCATCTCCCGAGGAATCGATCACGACGGATTCGCCCGAGTGGACAGTCGACCAGTACACTCGCTACACCAGCGTCATTGACGCATTCCACCAGTATGACAACGTCATTGGTTTCTTTGCCGGAAATGAGGTAGTCAATAGGGCGAACGAGTCTGCCGGCGCGGCCTTCGTCAAGGCTGCTGCAAGAGATATGAAAGCCTACATCAAAGACCAGGGATACCGGGAGTCCCTTGGTATTGGATATGCGACGACCGACAACCCGGACATTCGTGTGTCGATCTCTGATTATCTCAACTGCGGCGACCAGTCCGATTCTATTGATTTCTTCGGCTACAATATCTATGAGTGGTGCGGTGATAAAACCTTCCAGACCTCGGGATATGAGAACCGAACCGATGAATACAAGGACTATTCCATCCCCATCTTCTTCTCCGAATATGGATGCAACGATGAGAAACCCCGCAAATTCAGCGATGTCCCTGTGCTCTTCGGTCCCCAGATGGAGAATATCTGGAGCGGCGGTATCGTCTACATGTACTTCGAAGCTGAAAACGACTACGGTCTAGTTTCAGTTGACGGCAACTCTGTCAAAACTGAAGCAGATTTCGGCTACTACTCCAAGCAAATCCAGTCTGCCACACCTACCGGTACCAACAGTGCTAGCTACTCTCCCACCAACTCCCCCCGCGCTTGTCCCACCGTCGACGACGACATGTGGCTCGCCAAATCGAGCCCCCTTCCCCCATCCCCGAACAAGGACCTTTGCTCCTGTATGGTGTCCAGCTTGTCCTGCGTGGTCTCTGACTCCGTCAAGGCAGAAAAATACGGCGAGCTCTTCGGCCAGGTCTGCGGATATGGCCAAGGTATCTGTGACGGTATATCTCACAACGCTACGACCGGTGACTACGGTTCCTACAGCGTCTGCTCAAGCAAGGACCAACTGTCCTTCGTCTTTGATCAGTATTACAAGGACCAGGGTAAGCGGAAGTCTGCCTGTGATTTCGACGGCGCAGCCTCTATTCAGTCTGTCAAGGATCTGTCTGGCACCTGCAAGTCTCTGGTCAGCCAGGCCGGCTCTGCGGGCACAGGAAAGGTCACTTCTGGTCCTACCGGTGATGGCAGTGCAGCTAGTACCTCTACTTCTGAAGGCGCAGCTTCGGGTGTTGTGAGCCCTGTTGCTGTTCGGGTGAGTGGTTGGTTCGGTGTGGCGTACTTTGTTTCGGCGGTAGTGGCAGGTTTCTTGATGGTCTCTCTGTAAACTTACAATGTACTTAAATATGCTTTTTATGAGTCTATGGTATAGAGAACTAAGATGCGGAGCAATTGCTGGCTTCAGCTTGCTGGGTGAACTGGAATTGGAACATCGTCTAATTACAGTATTCTTGGGCAGTAAATATACAAATTGCATATGGAGTGGATGGTTGGCTTCTATGGCTTGAAAATAACATAGATTTCAACAATCATCCGATGTGGTGTAATGGCTAACATCGCTGTCTCTCACACAGCAGCTCGGGGTTCGATTCCCCGCATCGGAAGCATTTCCTTTTTGTTTTTTTCCCATAGTTTTTTCCCCGCCGTCCTATTCATTTATTCTAATTCTCTTCATGACTGGATATTTCTGTCCCCATTTTTTTATTTAAATGTTATAGCTATGCTATGCTATATTTAATATCGACCATTGTATCATATTTTCTGACAGTGACAAGTAGGTATCTCGCAATCCCGAAACAAGGGCACCAGTGCAAGTGTCGAGCCGACAGCCTCACCAAGAATCCAACACCTCCCTCCTCTACACACCAAAATAGGAGGAAAGTAACGAGAAAAAAAAAAAAACTTTCTACCGTTAATCCCAAACACCATAGCAGGTGACACGGCCCAATTATCATTCCAAAATGCAAAACGTTGTACTTATTCCCAAGTTACAAAATACTTATCCTCTTTTACAGAGCATGTATCCTGATTGAATCTATAAATGTAAACCTTTTATCATAAGTCATAATATAGTATTACGTATCAAGTTACAATGGGCTTGTAACTCAGTGGTAGAGTGCTCGCTTCGCATGCGAGAAGTCGGGGGTTCAATTCCCCTCAAGTCCAGTTAAACTTTTTTTTCCCTTGGATTCGGTTTTTGGTTTGCACGTTGTAACTCTAGAGTACAAAGTATTCAATTTTTGCTTTTGGGCCACATTGTTTTTATTGTGTTGTTTGGGTTTGTTCAATATACTGGCTAATCCAAACATTTGTAAGTGGTTTGTTTGGTGATGTGTTTTCGTGAATACTTTTTCCCTTGTGGCTAGTATATATATTTCGAGACTTATAGTCAGTCAGTATGAGGTAGTATTTATTTCACTTCTTATACTTTTTTATACTTAACGATGTTAGTACCAAAGGACAACAATTTAGTTTTCGTGAGATAATCTATAATTCACTATTCTACCCTTTTTTGTTTCAAGCAAATCTCTTCACTAGTAGTCCGCCTTCCCATGTAGATGTGATGCACACAACCACAAAAAGAGAGTAACAATTAATATTATTAGCCAGTGGCGATGCATTAGCAAAATGACAATTCCAGACAACCACCCATATAATCGCATAAATCCATATCCATTACATTATGCCCCGCCGAACATATACGGGGCTCATTAACCAAAATAAATCATGGCCAAGAAATCTACTGAGCTTGATAGACTTTGAAACTTCTGAATTCCCAGTAAGCCTCTGTAAAGGCCGATGGGTTCGTTGCGACAAAATTGTTGCACGTGCCCGGACAATGCGATTGTTCTGTGTAGAACTGCTTCTGAGCGCCGAGCGTCCCGCACAGGTCGATGTTAGCAATGATGCTTTGATTGCGGAAATGCGACGGGATGTCGCAGTCGGTGTTGGGGAAGTCGGCTAACGCGGTGCCCCAAGTGGATGGGTCTGGAGAACTGCTGGAATTGGTGATGTCGTCTGGGATAGAGTCTCGGGGGAACATCCAGGCGCGGATGCCGGCGTCTCGCAGTTCCAGGGCATAGACCTGCTGTGTTGTTAGCTGGGTTGTTCATGGGATGTAAGGCTTTGGACTTACACCTCCACCGTTGTTGTTAAACGGCTCCCCATAGCTATCGGGCGATCCTTGGACGCCACACCCTGCGTTGGTATTGGTGCTGTTGTCGCAGGTTGTATACACCGTATCACCAGTCTGCTTTCGCCTAACCTTCATATTGCAGCCACTTGTCGTGTGCAAGGTGACGGCATTGCCTTCAGGAGCATTGTTCGTCGTCTCCAGGACATCGATTTCTCCGTTCGCGGGCCAATTGAATGTATCCGTCAACCACAACGCTGGCCACGTACCACAGCCATAGGGCGTATGAAGAATATCAAAGATAAACAGGCCATGGTCGTACCCGGTCTTCGACTCCAGCCGCACAGACTGTCGGCCATTAACCGCATTCTGATTCGAGGTATCGACCTTCAGTACGACGGATGAATCCGTAGCGTAAGTGAGATTCAGCGCATTTGCCGCCGTTTGATCCACATATCTGAAAGGTTACAAATGAGTATGAAACCCTAGATGAATATACAGGGGGTGATGGGCGCATACTGGACAAACCCCTCGGTAGGGTCCTCGCCATGGTAATAGTCAAAGCGATCGAGAAACGATGTGCCCGAATACGTATCTACCAGCTGGTAATTAAGTTGCGTATAGTCCGGATAGCGATTTGCCTTTGTCCCCTCGACAGCTCCCACAATGACAGCCACAACCACGGCTACGCCAACGACGCCAGCAATCAGCTTGGTGCGCAGTGACCACCCGCGTGGGTTGTACCACGGCTGGGCGGGTCCAGCCTGCGGAGGCGTGTATTTAGCGCCTGGGCCCGGAGGGGGCCCCGCATGTTGGAGATCGTTGACTTCGAGCTTGGGAAGGTGAGCTGTAGCTCCCCCGTACCGCGAGAAGTCATCTGCGGGGGTGTGGTATGCTCTATCTGTCATGCTGCAACAGTTGTCCTTCTGACTGATTGCAATGGATCAAGGGATGGGGCAATTAGGGACGGAGTGCGGTTGAAACTGGTGGTTAGAAGAAGAATGTGTCGGATCTTACAGAGTGTGTCGATAAATCAGAACGACAAGAAATCATGTGCTGAATCAGAGAAGCTGTTGGGATGTCGTCATCCAGAATGCAGGAGGTGAAACGATGCCTCCGATCATCTCCGGTTCAGGAAATCCACGCAGCTTAAACCCGACTGCATGCAGTTGAGATTGATTAATCAGACTCGAGGTGGGGAAATGAACAAAACCAAAACGGGTGGTGTGTCAAATGCAACGAAGAGCCCATCGTAGATTGCGTCAGATCCTTCCATGATTCATCTTATATCGAATGGATCAGATTACACGGCGAGGCATCATGTTGGTCAAGCATTTGTTTGCATTCGTCCCTGACTGAGGTACACACGCTAAACCCAATAGAGCCATGGTTGCTGAGATGATCAACAAAACAACATCAACAAACAAACACAAGGTTATCACTTATGCTTCTTGTAAATTTAAATTCAAAACCTTATACAGCCCGGTCAAAATTCTATAATGTCCCCAGAAACCATAGAATGGCTATTAAAACTTAAGGCACAGGGTCAAAGCCAGGGACGCGGAAATAAGCACTGCCAAGACCAAGGAACAAGGTCCTTCCAAGCAGGCAAAATGGCAATAAAGTGGAGCAGCCGGAGTGAGGTGGATCATAGGGTTCTTGTACAGAGTCATCCTGGTTTTAATTTTACAAACTGCTCGTCTGGGCCTATATACTGTTCACTCTTCATTTCAGATGTTCATTCTGTCACTGAAAGTAGCATGTCAAATAGGCATTACTATATTGTAAATCGCCGATTGCGAACCTCTAACATGCTTCCCTTCATATCTATACCTATAACAGCACCACTAGACAAAAAGTCTAGCCACTCTTTTGTAAATTGAGATCTACATTCCACTAGATCACAACGACGAACACACTAAGCGCTTCGTTCCCCATCTAGACAGAAAGCCCATCCCCAACCCTATGATAAACTATATACAAACCCAACAACCCAGTACCACCCCAACCCCCTTCCTTTCCAGAAAATCCAAGCAAGAAAAGCACTCTACTGCTTATAACAAGGCGTACGATCCAACGCCGTAAAAGCAGAAGCACACTTATACTTGCCACCGGCATTGCAAGCAGTCCCGGGCATACCATCATCACTGGTCTTTCCGTCTGCGCGATGGGCATTCTTGCATACGGAGGGACAGTCAAGGTTTCCCTGTGTTGCGTCCTATACAAGAGTTTAGCATATTCCACACTTACTCAATTACTTTACTCAAGAATTGAGTGGATCGGCGGGTGAATGAGCTTACAGAGTAGACGCAGCAGTGCGAGCCGTCTTCAAATTCGCATTGGCAGTATGTGCAGGCTTGCGCTGTGAAAGCGCTGGCGAGGAGAAGGAGACCGATGGAGAGGATGCGCATTTTGGATTGGTCTGTGGTTTCTCTTTTTTTGGGGGGTTGGGGATTCTTGAAATGAGGGTGAGGATGAGTGTGAGGATGAAGGCGAGGGTCAGGAAGTTTATATAATGAGTTGCTTTCCTAATTGGGTCAGGAGGAGTGGCCGGATGCATAGCATACAATGTGCTTATCTACTTAGTCTACCTACTGATAGACTAGGATGAATGTCCTGGCGGGGCGAATGATGCAGGGCGCAATTTAGGAAGAACAATAGTGTCTTTTTCGGCATTCAGTTGGAGACTGTTCTGGATAGAGGAGGGAATGTGTAGAGTAGCTCTCAAGACTAGATCCTTCGGACTCCACCCACGTGTTTAGGAGGAATATGGACGTCTGCAGAAAATAGTGTAGTCCATTGAGGCACTGTTGCCTAAGGAAGGAAGATTCGGTGCAATCAATTCAAAACTATAGTGTAGCTGGTTATCCAGAGACGTTCGAACTATACCCCCGAAGATTCACCGAAGTCGTGGCCTGAGTTTAAACTACTTTCACCTCGCAATATACATAGTCTACGTGCATATGTAGGGTTGATTAAGTGTTATTGTACTCTTTAGTCTATTAAGTGTGTTAGTAGGTCTAGATAAATTGCTAGGTTACCTTGGAGATTATGACCATGTCAGTGGCGGCGGACAAGCTGTCTGATACGATATCGGGTAATCTACTCTAGTGATCGACATCGACGCTAAGCAGAGCCGAAGATGCTTGTCTGGGTAGCTAGCGTCGTTCCTGCGCGCGAGGGATTGGGATTTTTCCGTGTTTAGGGATGTAGGTTGAAGGATCGGTTGAATGTCTTAGACATTGGAGTTTTCTTTCCGATACCGCCGGCCAATGTGGATTTGGGAGTTGTGGTCGTGGGTGAGGTGAATTGATGGCGTGGGGGTTTGAAGTATCGTATGTCGTTTCTTGTGGTATCTACATTATGAAAGTGATTCTTGAATCCATGGCGAGGGCCAGAATAACAATAGCTTCTTGCAGATAGCACCTAGGCACACTATCAGTAGAAAGCATAATAGATGCTACATTCTAAACCAGACATAAAACAGCACATCCATCATAAGACATATACCTACTAAACCCACCCTCTTAAGACCCTAATCCCTCAGCTCATAGCATGTTCTAAGACAAGCCTTCCACTATCAAAGCCAGCTCCACACACCAGCCGTCATCCTGCCGAAAAGCTTCACTCGGAGATTTGCGCACCCGCACTTCCGGACGGCAAAGTCATGATCGTCGCTTTCTTTCGGGGTCTAAAGCTGAGTACCGACAACATGACTTTTTCCGGTGACAGATCCCGGGCCGGGAAAGCTTGGTCGTGCTGTTGTGAGAATTTATCGGAATATGGTATGGCGTCTCTGTCTCGGAATGGGTAGAATTGGGTGGTTATTCGATTCAGAGGCGTTTTGGTCGTGAGACTAGTTTCAGGGTGCGTGTTTTGGGCACTGTTTGTCTGTCTATGGGGTAAACAAAAGAGCTAGTGAAGAGTCTACTTCTATCTATCTTACGAAGCCGCAGGGAAGAGCCTACATCTGACACCTGATCTGAATAAAGGCGCTGTAGTTGTGGGGTTGTAGTTGCGGTGCGTTTTGATTGGCATGTTGTTGTGGAATAGTTGTCTCTAAAGGCTTGTCAAATAAGGCACCTTATGTACCGCTGGGATGGCTAATTCGAATGCCTTTGGCAGGTGGTCACATTGTGCAGTGGGTCGCCTGGATGTTTGTAATCGGCGGGATGTCTTATAATACAGTAAACATTTCGTTCAGAATCAGTCACGCAGCCCGCTGCATGATCTTAAATTGGACATATACAAGAAGAGAAAACTAGCCTCCGAAATTGCCGCACAAAACCACATTATACAGCCCTAGGAAGGAAAGCATTGTAGACGCTCAAGCAATGATACGCTAAAAGGCAGACACGACGCTCAAAAGACAAATGTATCCCAGTAACAGAAGGTCTAGAACACCGAAAGCAAATGTTACACCCAATCAGATAAGATTAAGACCATTGGAGTGAGGGTCACAATAAAAGAAAAGGGAGCTTTCAAGAAAATTGATCTATTTTATATTAGCCGAAGTCCTACCGCTGAGATCTTTGGGAACGCATGGTAGACTGGCGACGCATGATAGGGCTCCCACTGAACCATGGGGATGTGTTTTTATCTCGGGGATCATGCCCGGTAGACATGCCGTTCTCCTGCGTCTGGGACAGCCGGCGATCCGTAGACATCTGGCTGAGATTAGAGGCACGGCGGCGCATTCGACGCTCGGCATCTGCAATTTCATGGTGGTTCAAAGCCTCCGATGGAAGCAAGATGGCACGGTCCAGTGAATAGGGGAGACCACGATGCCGACCACGAATTTGCATGGCGATAATAACCAACTTTGACAAGGTTTGAAACTGACTCGCGAAAGATGCATTGACTCCTGGGTACCCCATGGACAAACCGACGGTGCCATAGGCGGAGACGACCTCGAAAAGAACAGACCAGATTTGAAAAGAGTAATCGTCCTGACGCTCCAGGCGCCCTCCTTCTACAATAGTGATCACAAACAAGCCCAAGAACACGTACCATAAGTCGAAGCTCAGCTGTCGCCGCAAGTGAGCCCCAATATAACTCGGCGCGGTCTGGTTTTCTTCGTTGTCATCTTCCTCTGCAGGGTAGACCCCGAGACTTTGCTCTTCATAGACATTGGTTCGCCGGAGAGAGATGGCAATTGGAAAAACGGAGATATACATCATGATCATGTAGGATACCTGGACAGCGGGGTGTAATTCTGATATGGTGACGACGGCAAAGCCTGCAGTACGTGTGCACGCGGCCTGGTAAAGGCCGTCTAGGATTTTGATACCGGTAGATAGTGAGGTGACCGCCGAATCTTTCAGGTCCAGAATAATAAAAAAGATCAAGTCAATACCGTTCAATGCCACCAGGATTGCGAACAGCCACCAGGTAGCATTGCGGGGAAAGAGAAGGGTGAAGCAGCGACGAGGATGATCTAAGAGGAACCTCAGTTCCTCCCACAAGGGAGATTCTTTTCGCACAAGCTTGGACAATAGCCAGATGATCAATCGCAACATACAGGGGAAGCCTGTGTTGCCGATAATGATGAGGAAGGCCAACAGAAGCAAGGGAAAGATAGCTTCTTGGAAGGAACTCATCGAGTCAGGGGTGATGGAGAACCCCACATCGTTGAAAGAGGACGCAGCCGTGAAGATAGCCCACCAAGGTCGTCCCTGCCCAATATTGGTGACGACCGCACCCCACCGGGTCGTCATGATCCATGGCACTAAGCAGATGATCCCCAGCAGATGGAAGAAGACATAGTACGAGATCAATACGACCGCCAATGTTTTGAGTGCTCGATATTCGATGCCTCCCAGCTCATCCCGTTGTTCCTCGCTCAAATCAACGAACTGGGAATTACGGCCGACCGTCGCATTCCAGCTCAAATATGGAAGCGTGTTCCGATCTCTCTCCTGCGTCAGGGACCGAAACACGCCAGTGAACGTGGGTCTCCGGGTAGTGGTGCGGGCCAGAGGCGACGGATCGCCGAAGTCCCTCGTTTCGCGCACGGTTGGACGGGTGTCTAACCGGGGGAAGGTGGAATTCCTCGTCCGTGTCCGGATCATATCCGGCTCGTTGATGGTAATATGCGGACCCTCCATCGGCCCTACCTCGTCATCCTCCTCCACATGGCGTGGGCTCGGTGGATCGTCGGATTGATTGCTGGTCTCGCGAACGGCTTCTACCCCTTCAACCCCCTCTTCTTCCAAGGCCTCGGGGACGCCACCACGGTCATATTCCCTCGGACTGGGAATTCGCAATGCACCCTTGGGCCTCCGTTGGTTTTCCAAGAAGGCAATGTGTTGTTCGGGGCTCAATTGGGCTGGAACCCGGAGACTCCCAAACCCTCGCCTCAGGTTGTTGTTGGAATCGGATTCTTGCTCGGAGGTATGGCCACTCTCATCTCTGGCCGCTGACGAACTTGGCCCCGAGTCACTTTCGGATGGTGTTTTATAGATAGCGTCTTGTTGCTCACGGTCCTGGGCCTCCCCCTGATTATTGCGCACCACAACAATGGCGCGACCCCCGACGCCGGCCTCTTCCCGGTCATGACTCTGGTTATCCTTGTCTTCGCTAATGGTCCGCATTCTAGACCGGGTTTGGCGCAAAGCTCGAGCATCACGAGCGACGTGCTGAAACCGCTTCTCAAACCAGTAAAGTCGGACAAAGACGAGAACCGTATTGATGAAAATGGGGGTTGTCAGCATGGAGACCCAGTAGAGCACCACCTGCTGATATGTTCTCAACAGGTTGAAGTCAACCGTATTCAGTCCACTCTGCGTGGCGGCCCCTGCTGAGAAGAAGAGCGCATCGATATAAGCAATGTCGCTTCCCGGGTAAACGATAACCGAGGTGATTAGGGTCATCGCAATGATATAGATATAGTGTAACAAGATGTAGTTGAGGCGAAGGTTCCTTAATAGTGGCACTTGCGACTTGACCGAGGATACCCCGCGAATGAAAGAGGAGAACATCTTGACGACCACGGCTGTACCACCGCTTGGTGGTAGACGGTGGAACAGTCGCCCGTCTAAGAGTCACGAAATCGTCGGAGAATTCTCGCGTGGGGGGGGGGGGGGGAGAGGCGCGGGAAGGTTTCTAGAATTTTGTATCTGTCGGAATGAAGATCAAAAGGTTATCGCGCAATTCTGATGTCGTGGATGACGGCACGATGTCAGCAAGACAATGGACGGATCCGAATTCTCGTGAAATAAAGGTGTTGCAACCGCGAACAGGCTGCAAAACCGACCCGTGTTAGCGTCTAGTTCTTGCAAGACGACATATTAACTGAAGGTATGTTGGAATCAAGGGCATGATTGAATGGAATTGGTCATGCGATAAGAAATCCACTCCGTAAACGGTGTCCGCGGGAGCCTTAACAAGAGGCTCCGATTAAAAAAAGAAATTGGAAAGGGGAAAAGGAATCTTCTTTGGAAAAAAAAAAATTATGGCAAAAGTTAGGAATTTTATTATTTATTTATTCTGACTTGAAAAGTAAAAAAATTAGGCCAGACACTAAGCTGCAGAGAAAGCGTTAGCTCGAGGTGAGAAAAAAGCAAGCATGAATTAATCCCTCACTGGAGCAAAAGCGCCGCAATGGTTCTGGGTTCTGCTAATCAACTTCCGGACAACGACGTACTTTAATTTCTCTGCCTAGGACCGACTGCAGAAAGGAAAGTGCGCAACCGGCGTGCGTTTCTTGTGGCCGTACCTCCTCGTGGCTCCACCTTTGCCATCCGCCACATCGGTAGATCCCTTACCTGGATTGGCTTTTTCACCGAGCCAGTGTCCATCTTAACCTTAACATGAAGGCGGTCGAAAAAGGTCTCCATCTTTTTTTTTTGGGTCCATTCAGTCTTGGCTCTTTCTTTTTCTTTTACTACTTTTCTTTTCTTGAGTTTGCGTTTCAACTTTTCAACATGACAGGGATCAATCGCGTATTATCGATCTTATCCTTATCTTTAGACATGTCAACATACCGGTCATCCAATTGCAGCCAGTAGAAGGACACACGTTTTGAATTCCCCGTTACCTCGGCTGTATGTACGGAGTACAAGCCACAATCGTATTCAATTCCCTCCCAATCATTGGCTGTTCGAGTGGGCAAGCCACGTCAATACTATTACCTCACTAGTAGTCGTACTACAGTACAGTAGTAGTAATAGTACTAGTACTACCTATCTGAGAATATCCCATTTTTTTCCTAGAATTTATATTTTCTCTAAAATATCAACGGAATCTATCTTCCAGAAGATTACGGAGAAGACCCACCGGTCTTGTTCTGGAATGTGATATACATACTTCTTACGACAAGGCTAGCTTAACGCTTCGAGTATTACCACGCTATCCTGAACTTTATATAGGGGCTTCTCCGCAAAATATTTCTCCAGAGTACGGAGGAAACGGAGTACCTCCTGCTCGTATTTCGAATCTTGTATTTTAGAATTTTGGCTCATATCTCGTAGTATATGTACATTTATTTTGTTGCTTGCTCCTTTCACATCCGAAAACGAAGAGTGACAAAGAGAACCCTAGTTCCATGGAACGTATTTGGGGGTAGAAGTTGCCAAGGACCTCGAACGTTGGTCTGACACCATCACTTCTTCATCCCTGACCAGCCGACAGCTACTAGTTATTCTCTGTTTTAGTACTACATGACTAACATATGTCCCCAACAGCATCGCTGATAGGCGTTGGTATTGTAGGAAAATCTATTTCGAGATTTGCATTATATAATGTGAGTCTTCACCTGTACCATGTATGTATGTATCCATTTCGATGACATAAGAATGTGACAGGAGAAGGTCCTAACTTAAACCACTTGCATGTCCTAGTTAGGGTATATATGTACCATACTATAATTATGCCCTACAGGAACCATATCTATAAACCTTGTCGTCAATCTTTGATGAGGAATTTCTCTATCTATCCAACTGTTGCTCCAGAGCGCCACAGATTGAGAATCAAAGATGACCATACTAGACCAAAAGAGACTAGAGTCTCATATACCAAAATTTCATACAAAAGAAGAGACTCAACACCAATATCAAAAAAACCCATCTAGTTACATCATTCAATGAGGACAAACCCCTCTAAAACGGCCACGCATAATGTGAAATAGCCAAAGTCACCGCCCCCGCTTCCGGCAAATACAACTTCGTCCAACGCGGTCGCCATCCCTCGTCAAACGGTAAACGCTCCTCGCCAAAGATCGCCTGGATATACTCCTTCGGAACATGGTAAAGCCCCTTCCCAAATACACCCATGATCCCCCCCACCTCCGCGCAAGCGATGTAATGCATCCTCTTATCCAAATCAAGCTCCGGGTTATCCCTCTTGGACTGCTCGAACCGTTTCTTGCGAAGTTTCCCAATATCCGAGATGGAGAATGACGTTCCATTCCCCGAAGAGGCGAGAAGTTGTTGATATAGATCAGGGTTGAGATGGATGTAATCGCCCAACGCACGGTCTTGTCGCGTCACGGAAACGTCGTGCTCGATGGCATGTGGACGGCCGAGTTGATCGAGGTTTAGCACGGGCTCCCCGTCTTCGTTGACTTGGCCGGCGTCGCGTAGGCCGAAGTTGGCGGTCGTACGTGGGCTGCCCTCGGGTGGGTCGACATGGTCTTGGAAGGCGATCTTTACGAGGCCTCCTGCGGTGTCGAAGCCGAGCCCAATATGCTCTAGCGCTGCCTTTAAGTGGCTCCCGGTGATGTTACGGCCGTCGCGAGCGATGTAGCCGTGGTTTGCGAGGGAGTTGAGGATGGGACATGGGGAGCGCAGGTCGTCTGCTCCGCCTCGGTGATATTGCCCTTCTGAGAGGGTGTCGTTTTCGCTGGACATGGTGGTATGTTGTGGTAAGTGAGGGTTGGTAATAGAAAAAGCGGCGGTGAAAAGAGAAAGCCAGATTATGGACTTCATGGTTTTTAGGCTGATGCTTATATACGCGCTGGTTTCATTTGCAAAGCGTTTGATTGGAACTCGTGTTCGATACAAATGATGTCTGCGGCTGAATGATTGGTCACATTCCAGTTTGGTTGTCAGCTTCCCATGCCCTATTAGGTAAACGTGCATGCTTGCTTATTTCCTCTAGGTTTTTGGCTTTTTTTTTTTTTTTTTTTAGCCCGTTTAGCTCTTGTTCCTCACAGGACACCGCATTTATGTACATACGGAAGGAATCCATTTGGTATACAAAATAAATCAATATGCATGATCAAACCGTCTAAGTAATTGTCCCAGATCAGGAAGTCCTGTCAACAAGCTCCTTCACCAACTGATTGACCTCTTCTTCATTCTCCCACATCAACACATGGCCACTACCCTCATACACCTTCCACAGGATCCCCTTCCCAATCTCCTCATGTAAAATCTCGCCATGACGGAACGTAAGCATGCGATCTTCCGTCCCATGCAGAACAGCAATACGCTCTCGCCCAACAGCATCCCCCAACGCCTTCAGCTGCTCCGGAGACTTATGATGAAAGTAGCACGCAACAATCTGCATCAGGAACCCCTTCTTCGTAAAGCTATCGGGATCCTCCCTCTTCTTCAACTGGCCCGCCGCAAATCGTTCGCGCCTCGTAGGGAAGTTCTTCTTCGGATCCTCGTACTCCGTATCCGGCTGATCGAGAAAATCCCCGCCGAAGAGCGTGTGTCCCAAGCGTGCCAACTCGACGTCCACATGCCGGGGGATGAACATGCTCGCGCGCTCGCGCAAGTTCTCCAGGAATGGAGCCGTGCGGACGAGTCGCGGGGCCGTACAGCATAGCGTTAAACTAGCCAGACGATCTGGAATAAGCATGCCGACTTCTTGGGAGATCATGCCGCCCATACTGGCGCCGATGACATGGATCGATCGGGTGGCGGGGGCCGAGAGATCGATCCAGCCCAGGTGACTCAGTAGATCGACGACATCTTGTGCCATCTCCGACGTGGAGTAGTAGTTCACTGGCTTGTCGGAGCGGCCAACACCGCGATTGTCAAAGACCAAGCATGTGTATTTGGAGGCGTTCTGGTGGCCGAAAAACTTGGTCTGGCGCTTCCAATCGTCGTGTGAGGCGTTCAGCCCCATGATCCACTGTGATTCATCTTTAGTACGTGCGTGCAGAAGATGGGAGAATGTACACGAGCAGTGAACGTACGACAAGCTTTGCAGGTCCAGTGCCGTGGATTTCATAGTACAGGTTCAACGGGCCGCCGCGTCTGTTTTGCGCCACCGGACATGTTCCTGAGGTGGTGGGAGGGAGATTCCATGCCACCGAGTCATACGCGGAGTGCTTTACAATCTCCGCGGCAGTTAAGGGCGCCATGGTTACTACGCTGTGTGTCTGCGATGTTGGTGACAAAAGGTCATGTGTGAGCGGTGGATATAGCTTCAGTCTCACATGCCCGTTGGTCTCGGCGGCGGATCCCGAGGTTTTGTCGGTGGGTCAATGGGGGGTCGTTGTTGGCCGTCTGATAGGACGCACTTTGCTTTTTGGTATTACAGATTACCCTATGGTATTCTTCTAGATTTTAATCATTTCCGTCTATAACAAAGAATAAAGGGATTTACAAATTATGATGTCATTCTCTCTAGGATTCGCATAAGTTAACTCATGGTAAACACCACCACGACCAGACTATTAGTATGATAACAAGGCATTAGATTTCAACAATAGGAGTAGAGGGCTCCATAATCTGACTTGTACATTTCTGTTCTGTTTGGTATGTGGTTAATCAAGTATTTCTTCATTTTTGAATAGTTGAAAAGATCTTGTAGCCTGAGGCCACAATTAGTACGATCTAGTCACCTGCTTGGCTCATGTGAAATGGCGAGCTGAATATGAGTTCTTGACTCATCACAATCTGCCTTCCTCGTTCCAAGAACAATTCACAGTCCAGACTGGAGTCGGTGCATGCCCGAAACTATGTTTCAGAACAGCGGAACTCGAATATTCATATTTGTCCATCTGGGGAGAGAACGGTCAACAATAAATATCACTCTTGCACTAATTTCCTGAGTTTTCATATATCTTGACTTTCTATAGAGGATATGAATCAACTTTAATAAGACTTATGGAAACCGACGAACAACTCACCAGAGTTTGAATCGTTGATCCAGACATATCACCTCCAGAAGGCAGTTTGATGGCGAGATCGGAGTCTATTCTAAACCATCGATGGGCGCGGTCCACTCCTGCCTCAGATATCACAGAGGAAGAATGAGTTGACGCTATGTACACACCGTCGCTCTCGGGCCGCCATTACCCAAAGCCACACTTCCCACGGCAACATGACTCCCGGGCCGCTATGGCCAACTATCAAAAGGAGCGAAAGAGCAGCATCTGTCCAATATCTTGAGCCACGCGCTCTCAACGATCCTCTCATTGGTGCACAAGCAGTGAAACGAAGAGAAGAATACAATCCAATCAGAACCGGCGTTGGAAAATGCGGTCGCGCAGAGTCAATCTAGCCGATCCTTAACTTGCTCGGACGTCGAATTACTTTTGACTTAGACGGAACGGACCGGTGCCATACCGATATTCTCGTCCTGCTTCTTGATGAAGAGCCTCTGCAGCGCTCGCGTATTAACTAGTACTCCGCCATATTTATGGTCTGGTTCTTAATCTAGCTACTCTACCCATTATATACAACGGAATACAGAGTTCAACTAATAAAAAAAAAAGAAATACAAATTATGAGCGAATATTGACATGAGGATGAACAGGCCTTTATATACTTAGATACTATCATCATTATCCATCAGACATGTGCCCTTCACCTGCAATACGCAGATATACAACTTAAAAGACAATGAACGTCTTTCCAATTTTCAGTCGGTCTGCTCAGATAGACCTAGTGCTGTTCCGGTTTCTATTCCCACATGTTGGTAGCCGCCAACCTCTTTAATAGAACATGAAGCAGGATTCAGTTTGACTAAGAGCGTCGACTATAGCACAATGAACTACCAACCGAGATAACTCAAAGACCTCAGATACGAACAGCCTGTACCCCAGGGCAAGGCAATTCAAAATCCCACCAGCCTCTTGGAACCTAATCCGAAATGATACTCAGACCGAACACTATCACTCACACGCTTCAGGACCCAGGGTTATTGTGGCAGCGGATACGACCCGATTCGTTATCATACGTTATCACTCCCGCTGCACAGTCTTTCAGCACCGAAACCAGGCCAAGCACGCGAGACAGTGTGACTTACATGTCGAGAACAATATTTCCTCCCTGCCCGAAGCATCATCACAAGAGCATCTGATCTTGAAATCTAAATCGCCCCAGTAATATTTGAGGTAGCGACAGCTCCTACATTGGCCCCTTCGCATCCCGAAGCCACTAGGGACATATTAGCCAATGCCGCCGCTCAATAAACCAGGGAGATATATACTACCTGCTCTCCGCAATCAAAGTTCCACCATTCTCTTCTCGCCACCCGAGACAATAGTCCAAGGATAGCTTTGTCTCCCGGATCTGGCCGTCCCGCTTCTTGCAATTGCCCACCAAGAGTGGCTTGGGTGGCCGAGGCAAATTAGCGCGTCGCTCGGATCCGCGCAGGGTCGACGCATCGCTGTCATATTCTGATTCCGGGGAGGCTGTCCATTCCGTTGCGTACGTTGGTTGATTGTTTGCGGTATTTGTGTTTTGTAGTGGTGGGGGTGGGTTCTCTATGCGTAGGCTTCGGCAGTTCTCGTGCAGGTTCTTGGTTGCCAGCCGTGCTGGTGTCAGGGCCTGTTGATTTGCTAGTGGGTTGGCTGGCTGGTTGGCTGGTTGGTTGGGAGGAGGATTGAGAGCAGTAACGGCTAGGGCTAATAGATACAGGGCTATGAGCATCAGAGCTCGGTACATTGTGCTGGACTGAGATAGTTGGCGCTGCACGATAAGAGAGAAGGTTGGGGATTCTGATGAAGAAAATCTACTAGGGTTTTAGGGGGCTTGTTCATATATTCAGTCGTTGGTTCTATCTTGCACAGCAGGTCAAAGCTATTAAGCTTCTACAATTATGTATGTACTACTTCTTTCCATTAGTACACCTCTTCTTTGTCACAATGGGGCTAGGGCACCGGGCACCGGGCACCGGGCAACAGTTTATCTAGATGCATTAAAGACACGAAATTTAGGTCTAGAAAGAGAATATAGAAAAGACGGGACAGACAGAGCATGGAGCAACTCTATGGTTCTATATACGGAGTATACGGTAATTATATATGAAGTCAACATAGGGTTGACATACCCCAACTTCCTCGGAGAACCTGCTCCAACTGACCCCACCAGTCCAGGTCCTTCTCTCCACCATCATGACTCCAACTTATATCTAACCACCCCCCTTCCTCCTTCACCTCTTTTATTCTATAACCCTCATTGCAAGATACTAATCCTCATCCCAATCACCAATCCACCAGAATGGCCCCAATCCACCGCGTAGCCGTAATTCAATGGCACATCAAAGTACAAAACCACTCTACCCCACCATCCCCCAGAAAGAAACTCCCCAGAACTGACCTCAAAAGGACCTCGCCATGGACGAAAACCACGAAAAGGCATGCACCTACATCCGCGAAGCAGCCTCCCAAGGTGCCCAACTAGCCGTTCTCCCTGAGTACACATTCTCCCCCCTTTATCAAACAAGCCCTTAGGGCCTCCCCTCCTCACCACACTCACCACTAACAAAACCCTCCAACAAAAACTAGATATCATCTAAACGCCTTCCCCCCCACAAACCCCCTTTACCTACCCCAAACCAACCCCCAAATAACCACCAAATACCTCCAATCCTACCAATCCCTCGCCAAGGACCTCAACATCTGCATCGTCCCCGGCACAATCGTCGAAAACCACTCCTCCACCTCACCAACCCCGACAGACCCCATCCTCTACAACACAGCCTACTTCATCTCCAACGACGGCACGATTCTCTCCTCCTACCGGAAAAAGAATATCTGGCACCCAGAACGCCCATACCTGACTTCTTCGGCGTCCGATCCGCACGAGGTCTTCGATACACCCATCGGCAAGGTCGGATTGCTTATATGTTGGGATTTAGCGTTCCCAGAAGCGTTTAGGGAGTTGATTGCTGCTGGGGCCGAATTGGTGATTGTTCCTACGTTTTGTATGTTGCCTCTTATTTCCCTCCTTCTCTCTCCTATCTTTCTTTCTTTCTTTCTTTTTTGGGTGGTATTGTGGGTTGTGGGTTGTAGGGCTGTTTGGAGGCGGGAAAAAGTGCCGTTGGCTAATGATAAACCTGACAGGGACTCAAAATGACGCCTCACCGGCGCTTCGGGCGAAGAATCCTGACTGCGAGAAGCTATTTCTAGAGACGGTGCTTACGGCGAGGTGTTTCGAGAATACGTGTGGGGTTGTGTTTGCGAATGCGGCGGGGGAGACGGAGGGAGATGGGTTTCTGGGATTGTCGAGGGTGACGATGCCTGGGGTGGGTGTTGTAGGGTCTCTTGGGTGGGAGGAAGGGGTTTGTGTGGTGGATGTTGATATGGGGTTGGTTCGGGATGCTGAGGAGAATTATCGCGTGAGGGAGGATTTGGCTAGGGAGGGGTGGTATTATTCTTATCGGCATCAGGGGAGGGATTAGAATATTTTTTTTTTTTTTCTCTTTCTTAATATCTATGGTGGGTGATGGTCGTGGTTGTTGAGTCATTAGGTCATATATGTACATACCTAAGGGAAAGCTCTATTCATTTTATAGAACTGTATATATATATATATATATATATATATACACTGTACTGTACAACCCACTAGACTAAACTGCTCTGTATTCTAAGAACCAACAACAATCATTAGGCAATACAAATTCGTGAGATGAATCTTGTCCACCTGACATCCGAGATTGGCTCCGGAAGGAAAAACGCTCGTATCAGGACATATAGCATAAGGCATGGGGCATGGGGCATAGCGGCGAGTAACGACAAAGTAAACCCTCCCAAAAGGCGAACCAGCTAAAGCGAGACCGACGAAAGACTAAAATCGTATCTAAACCAGGATTCTCGAACACATCGGAGACCATTCGAATGTTTACTGGACTTGGCTGACAATCTCGCTGGCGCGGGACAGACTCTCCACCATCTGTTGGCACTCCTTGCGCCTCCGCACGGTGTAGTCGCTTTCCTTCAGGAGCTCGTCCAGTTCGTTGTTGCGGTACATGTTCTCGAGGAGTTCGCGCTGCATCTCGTCCTTGGTGAACCTAAAAGACATTAGTCGGAGGGTGAGCTTTGATAGGGCACGGAGACACTTACTGGACAAGCATGTACATAATGGCCTTTGGAACCATGTCGATCATGGTCCGCTTCACGATGTTAAAGTAAGACGTAATGAGAAGTTCTGCGTATCATTAGTACTTGCTCAGTGTACGATAATGACATTGGACGTACTGATAACTTCAACTTCGGTGGTCTCACGCTCGGACAAGGAGGCCGACGCCTTGAGGGTTGGCGGTGGGGCCTCCATGGCCGCCATCTTCTTCTTGTTCTTCGATGCCCAGAAGCTGCCGAAGAAGCCAGAGCCGCTGCTGCTTTCCGTATTGCCGAGATCGACCGACGGGCTGTTCGCCCGGGGAGGAAGAGGCTTGCCCGTCTTCGGGTCAACCTGGGTAGGCTTACTGCCGGCTTGGCGTTCATTCACAATAGTCATGGCCTGCTCCAGTCAGTATCTAAGAACTAGTGCGTGTTTCACAGTCAGATAAGATACGTACGCGGTGTCCGTTCAGGAAATCAGGGTGACCCGTGTTGATGTAGCACGCCTCCATGTTGATGAGGTCGCGAACAAGCTTGTTGGTCGGCTCCATGCACTTCTTGAAGAAGCTGATGACCACGGCGTGGAATTTCTCCTTCAGCATGGGATACCTGCGGAACAGCTGCTTGTTCAGGAGCTGTCCCAAGATGCGGACCAGTTCGTCATACACCAGGGAGATACACTTCGTGCTGGGGTCCTCGAGCCTCTTGATCTGCTGCTTGACGATCAGCTCAAAGGCAGTGGTTCCAACGAAAAGCGCAGGCGATGAACCCGAAGAGTTGTAGAGGATCGTCCGGATATCAATATCCTTGACCTGGTCGAAAGGATCCACCGCCTTGATACCGTTGGAGTAAAGTTCGTGGAACACGAAGCTGATACGAGCACCACCCGACAACTCAATGCTGGACAGCTCTTGATTGTTACCCTCCAGCACCGTACGATACTCATTGCTGAACTCCGTGATGATGTTCAGAATGATATTAGCGCTATTGCCGAGCATGGAATCTCCCAACTGCGAAAGTTCGGCAGAGTACTTCTGAAGGGAGGACGAAATCCGCGCTTTGATATCGGGCAGAGTTTGTTTGATGTGCATCATAAGGATCTACTAACAGTTAGCAGCCTGAATTTCCCCGATTACCGCCAGGCGAACGTACCAAGTTCAGCTTCCGCGCCAGATACGGCGTTCCACAGTACGAAGACTTGTTCCGATAGGCCTTATGGCCCTCGAAGAAGTTCTTCTCATGCTCCAGAGCGTATGAGATGGGTCTCTTGTTCTCAATATCACGTTGACCACGGTTGACGACTGGCACATAACCCAAGCGTAACGGGATAATCCTGCCCGCAAGAATATCCACGACATCGGTTCCCTCGTCCATCAGATCGACCTTGGTCAAGACACCAATTGTACGCTGACCCTCCGGGTCGACTTCCCGTGCCAGCTTCAAACCGTCGGAGTTGGCAAGATCTTGGTTGGCCGCGGTGACCGCAAGGATGATCGCGTTAGGTTTGCTGATGTATTTCAGGACCATATCCCTGATTTGCTTCTCAATGTCCTTGGGCTGATCACCGACCGGAACCTTAGTCAAACCGGGCAAGTCGACCAGCGTAAGGGTCAGGACGTTGGGCGAGTAGATGCGGAGGTTGATCGGCGCAGGAGAGATACCGGCATTGCGACCGACCTTGGACTCCGTTTCCCGCACGATCTCCTCGCGAATCTTATTGAAATCGTGGAACTTCTGGCCGGGAATGTGGAGGAACTCTCCGTACTCATCTAGGTTTGCGGCGCTATCCGTCGTATCCAACTTCTCCTCCTTAACGCCATTCGATTGAGTTGCAGGTTTGTTGATCAGTTGAAGAATGAGGGGTCTCCGAGTGACAATTCCGGACCCACGGGGGAGGCTGAGATGAGGTGAAGCCGTCAGTCACCTGCGTCGAACTCCCACTAGCACAGCAATAACCACTTACAAATCCCGTCCGACAATATTTTCTAGCACCGAACTCTTACCACTGGACTGTGAACCGACGACGGCAATCTGAGGTAAGTCGATGGGATTGTGAACCTAAACAGAATAGGCGGTGTCAGTCGCGGCGAGGGGTTGAACCAACAGAGCTTCCTGAGAGCTTGAAGATACGTACTCCGACTGTCGCGAAGACATCTTGGAGCTTATTAACCAGCGAGATCAAGCTGGGATCGTTGACGTTTATTCTGTTTCCACCCGTCAGTCAGTCAATGCCGTCGGATATAGAGCACGAGGGGCCAGGGGCTGCGCACGAGGTCGGGCTTGCCATGGTTGGCAGCGAATGCAAGAGACAGTCGCTCCAAACGAAGAGGAAAATCTAAAGAACAAAAAAAAGGGGTACAATAGGGGAGAATGAATATATCGAGCAGGTAGACTGTATTATCCGACTTGCGGAGGTGGAAGTGGGAAGAGGAAAGAGAGCGGGAAGTCGAACGGCCAAGTGGTTGACTTTCGCTTGCGGTCCAGAATTCAATCCAATCCAACGATAACCCGCGATAAGAACGGAAGTCCAGTTTAATGTATACCCAACCACCCCACGTTTGGTCAGTGGTAGATCTCTGGCATTCAAATGAGCTCTATGAATGGCGTTTTAACCTGAGATTGTCCTTATTGTCAAGGTTATGACAGCGCAGAAAGCAGAGGTCAGAAAAGAGGTCACGATACCCAATAAGAAGGCCGCGTCATGTGCTTTTTGGCCACCCAAAGGCGGCCAAACAATGCTGCCTAAGTGATGATGGAAAAGGAACAACAATTACGGAAACGATCAGGCAATTGACTCAGTGGCTGATGAATTTCTCGCAAAAGCTAAACAGAAATAAACGGCACGAACTACAGAACATGGGAATTTGTTATGCTACAGGCAACCGAACAGTACGGCCCGTCTGTCAACTAGTCCTCTCTATGTCCACCTACATCCATTTACTCATCCGATACCGACGCGAATCGCTCGGACATGGTCTGAAGAATTTTCTCGTACTGCAGCCGCTGCGTTAGCACCAATGTAGGCCGAACAAGGAAGATGATTACGAACCTTCTCTGAGACCTCTTGTTGGTTTTCCGGAACCTCGAACTTCATGCTCCGCAGGGCAGTCTGGATGTCGGAAGTGGCTTCACGAACCTTGGCCCAGTTCTGACCCTGAGCAATAGCCTTCTGCGCTTCATCATGGTAGCCCATAAAGCCTTTCATCATATATTCCGTCTTCCACAGAGGGCAGAACTGATCGTAGTCACTGTATCCGTTTTGCTGAAGGAAATCATCCTTCACCATGGCTGCCACATCCAATGCGATCTTATCAGAATCACCCAGGGCGGCCTTACCGACCAGCTGCACGACCTGGTCCAGTTCTTCGGACTTGGTCAACAGCTCACGAATCTGGTCACGCAGGCGGGGGAATTCGGGGTAGTCCTTCTCGTAGAACTTGTCCAGGATGGTCGTGTATTTACTGTAGGACATCGAAGTGTTGATGGAAGGGAAATGCTTTCGCTGGGCCAGCTTCTTGTCGAGACCCCAGAACACCTGGACGATACCGAGGGTACTAGTGGTGACAGGATCCGAGAAATCACCACCAGGAGGGCTGACGGCACCGACAATACTGACACTGCCGATTCTCTCGGGGCTTCCCAAAGCAACACTCTTTCCAGCACGTTCGTAGAAGGAAGCAAGCTTGGCACCCAGGTAGGCGGGGAAACCTTGGTCTGCAGGCATCTCTCCCAGACGACCGGAAAGTTCACGAAGCGCCTCGGCCCAACGAGAACTGGAATCGGCCATCATCGCCACGTTCTTACCCTGGTCACGGAAGTACTCGGCGATAGTGATACCGGTGTAAATGGAAGCCTCACGCGCGGCGACAGGCATGTTGGATGTATTGGCGATAAGACACGTACGCTTCATAATAGGCTCTTTGCGACCATCGATCTCGATCGAAAGCTGTTGGGAGAATAACATATTAGCACCGAACAAATCACGGCGGGAGTAGGTGACGTGGAATCGCATACCTCGGGGAAGTCCATCAACACTTCAGCCATCTCGTTACCACGCTCACCACAACCCACGTAGACGATGATATCACTGTTGGAGAACTTGGACACAGACTGGGAAATGACAGTCTTGCCGCATCCGAAAGCACCAGGAATACAGACGGTACCACCCTGCACACTAGGGAACAGAGAGTCCAGCACTCTCTGGCCGACGATGAAGGGTGCGTCGGATGGAACCTTCTCGTTGACCGGACGGGGTACACGGACGGGCCAGGTCTGCATCATACCGAACTCGGACTTCTTGCCGTCAAATTCGATCTCCAAAAGCTTCTCCTCCACTGTGTAGCTTCCAGCCTCTGCGATACGGGTAATGGTACCCCGAGCGCGGGGCGGGAGGAGGATCTTATGGTCGTTCATCAAGCTGTTCTCGAACACAGAACCCCAAACGTCACCTCCGGTGATGTGATCGCCCACTTTGTATTGTCCGGGCTTGAAGTCCCATTTCTTCTCGCGATCCAGCGCGTTCACAGTAATACCACGGGGGATGTAAATTCCTTTGGACTGGTGGTAGATCGCTTTCAGGGGGCGTTGGATACCGTCGTAGATCGTTTCCATCAAACCAGGTCCCAGTTCCACCGCTAGGGGCTTACCCGTCCTCTCGACAGGATCGCCGACCGTCACACCATCTGTGGAGTTGAAGTGATGTTAGACTGACAATCCGAGTCGGTCGCAAAATGGATGCGAAAGCGTACCAGTTTCCTCGTAGACCTGAATGGTGGCCTTATCACCATCGAGACGGATAACTTCACCGACGAGCTGATCTTTCCCGACACGACACTGCATTCACGGGACGTTTGAGCAAAATTGAAAACCAACCTCGATGAGGGAAGTAAACCCCATCGCAAATAAAAGAGACGAGGGACCATGCAGATGGCGGGGTTGACAACATACCAATTCGTACATGGCACAGCCGATCATGTTCTCGGCCACGACGACGGGACCGGAGACGGAGAAGACGGAGCCATGGTGGGCCTCATCTTGAGGGCCCTTTCCGGAGGGGGCCATAATGCGAATAGCCGGAGGGTGAACAGATGAGGAGGAGGGAGAAGGATGGAGGGTGGTGGTAGGGGTCGGGAAGGAACTGGAGCTGGAGCTGGAGCTGGAAGACGGGGAAGTGGGTGAGTCGGGGAGCGGTGGCAGTTGGTCGATGTCCGTGGGCGGTGATGACGACGATAACAACAATGGTTGGTCACTTCCACCACCACTACTGCTGCTGGCCTCTATCAGATCCAGCAAGGAGGGCCGTGTTTTCAACCGACGCACGCCTAAGCCTAACATACGGCGGTCCTGTGGCGTTTGATGCAAGTGCCTAATAGGAGGGTGGGATTAATTTGACGATCGCCCAATTTCATTAGCTCCGTCGAATCAATCGATGAGGCGCGTGTTTAGGCTCCATAGATGGATAGGCTACTCACTGGGTCTATTGTTCTTTCATGGACTGGTCATATGCACGGCCACAAGCCTGAGTATTAATCAAGTGGACGGAAATTAAGTTGTTGGTCATAGTTTCTCTGTGGGTAATCTTGTGGCCGCCCAGAAACTATGCACGGAACGTAAGAATTTATGCTAACGACTTTACTGAAGGACAGTATACAACAACTTTGATCATGATCTGAGAGCTAGCTATAAATCGGAAACTTCCACTTCCGAGCCCTGACATGACTACGATGCTTAGTACAGAGATGATTTGCAATCCGCAGATCTGCACTGGTCAACCTATAACACATCATGCATGTGTCTCGTGCTCACATAGAACAGTGAAGCCTCTGCTAGACAAACAAAGTGCCGGCAAGCGGATCGAGGGCCCATGGATCAACATCGGCTATCCTGTGGCTCAATGTCTTATTATACGTGGACACGTGAAGGCGGCTGAGCGACTAATGGGATAGGGCCGCCATGGAGGATGGATGTGCGGGGAAGTGGCAGCATCCGAGGCTTGCATTGGAGATCATGATCAAGGATAATTGTTCATAGATGGCTGCTACCCTCGTGGTGTCACTTCATAAAGTAGGCACAGCCCTATATAAACAGACCGAAATGCAGACTGATGCAGGTGTGACTGGTTTACCCATATATAACCGAGAGTTTGTCATCAAGTTTAATACATATTGTACGCTTCGCGAAGTTTTCTTACTTTAGCATCATTCTATCGCTATCGGATATTATTACAGCATGGCCCAGCAGAGGAGCACGAATGCGAAGATTTACAAATGCTGGGGCTATACCTTTGAATGGATCGACGGCCTTCACTCTCCAGTAGAGCAGTTGCACTCCATCATGCTCAACTATGACAAACTTGTAGATGAGTGCCTAGACCGCCTGGATGAGATCTCACCCCCAGGTGGTGCCCGTGTAGAGAGCACAAGGAGCTCCGACGCTCGAACACCGAAGAGAGACCTATATTTCCTGCTGGAGAAGCACGCAAAAGACGATCCAAAACTTGACGAACTGTGGTCTGAGATCAACACCGTCCCGGATTGGGTCGACTGGGAGCAGATCAAACGGGGGCAAGAAGTGTTCTTCCGCTATGGAACACCGATTCTTAATGTAGTAAGTCGGTGCATGGTTCAACTGTTCTACCGTGTAGTCCCACTTATGAAATCGATAGCTCGGCTTTCAAAGCCTCCTCGGCGGCATGTTCGTCTCCCGGAAAAAGGAACATGTGAGCTAGGACTGACATGCTAGTGTAGGGGCTCCCCTCGTGTTGTTGAGACCTTGGCCCGGACTGGAGGTTTCTCGGTGGATGTTGTACGACGCAGGCTGCTGGAAACTCTGCAACACATTCTTCAGGTGTCCTTATCTTTGGACTCGATAAAGCCAGGAGGTAAAGGTCATGTCTCCTCCGTTCGTGTCCGGTTGCTACATGCGTCGGTCCGTCGTAGGGTTCTGAGCCTTGTCAAGTATAGGCCCGAATACTACGACATCGAGAAGTACGGAATCCCTATCAACGACCTGGATTGCATTGCAACTATCCACACGTTCTCAACGAGTGTGGTCTTCCTTGGGCTTCCACGACAAGGCATCTTTTTGAAGAACCAGGAAATTGAGGATTATATTGCCCTTTGGAGACTCGTGGCGTACTACATGGGCACACCAACTGAGTGCTTCGCGACACCGACACAGGCACGAGCGATGATGGAGTCACTCTCTGTGTCTGAGATAGACCCAACCGATACCGGCAGGATACTGGCGCAGAACATTATTCTTGGTCTCGAGAACACAGCCCCCACATATGCGTCGAAGGAATACCTTGAGGCCATGGCGAGAAAACTCAACGGTGACGAGCTATCTGATAGCCTTCACCTTCCGCGTCCCGCTTTATACTACAGAGCACTCGTGTATGGGCAGTGTATCATGGTCATGATCGCGTGCTATGGACTTCGAGTGCTTCCGATTCTCGATCAAGCTATCATTGAGGTAGGCTTTGTTTGTCCTGGTTATCCTTTGTTTTTGGAGACGTACCAAAAGACTACCTCATTCACCAACATAACCAACATACTGACCGTATCTAGTTACGTCGCAAGCTCTTTTATGGCCTCATTATGGACAAGAACGAGGGACTAGGAGGCGAAAGTTTCTTCGAATTCAAGTATGTCCCGTTTTACAGTCGCACGACACGTTTAGGGAAGCGCAGGGTGTCCCAACCAGCATGGTACGGTGTAGAGACTCTGGGACAGCTAGGTCTTCTCACTGCGTTCCTGGCTGGAGTGGCTCTGTTTTGCGGGACTATTTTTGGAATCAAACTGCTAGCCCCAATTGTTGTTCCGGCTGCATTCGTCGCAGAGGTTTATTGAAAGATATGATCCGGTCAATGTTCTGTCTAGTGGGATTTACTGTGTTTACTGTATCCGTTCTCGCTTCATGGGATGATAATGATTTAGTATGTACGTATTTATAAGCCCCGTCAATCATGGAAGACTTTTATATCTGAATATGGAAACAGGTCTTGTGAGCCCGTAGAAATAGTACAACTTTATTAAGATATCCAGGAACGTATCTTCGGATTCAGATATGGTCCACTTATTAAGTCCCGTTCCGCTAGGTTACGCCACGATGACGCCATAGAAAAAGGAACGAATAAATAATCTCGAAAATAATTCTGTTTTTGTGGCATGGAAATCTGGATTCAACTTCAACTGATTCGTTAACTATAACCCGAGGACTCATCATGGTAGATGAGGGTGTCGTCGTGCCGTTGGTGGGCGCCTTACAAGCCTGCGTCTCCGTTCTGCTGACCATGAGCTACGGGGTCGCAGCGCAAAGGTTTCGATTGATTCAAGAGTCCTCGATCAATGATATGGCTGGACTGGGGGTCAAGTTGTTTCTCCCAGCTTTAATCATTATCAATCTAGGCGAACAGCTGCAACTTGGAAATGCGTTGAACTACATCCCCGTTCTCAGTACTGCTCCCCCATCCTATCTCGAAAATCAATAATAACCTCTCCATTGCCAGTTTGGTCCATTCTCTACACGTGTGCCTCAATCGGCCTGGCATATTTCGTCTCTAGGGGATTGAAGCTCCCGCGCTGGGTGACGCCTGCCTGCGCATTCAACAACACGACCTCGCTGCCGCTCCTCTTGTTGCAATCGCTGGAAAGCGTGGGGAGTCTAAAACCGATTATTAAAGACGGTGATACCGAGTCCGAAGCTATCTCTCGTGCCCAAAGCTACTTTCTTCTCTGCGCTGTAGTTAGTAAAACGATCGGTTACGCCGTTGGTCCCAAGCTACTTCAGGACGGTAACGAGTCATCCACCAATCCAGAGAATCAAGAAGCAGACGACACCAATCCTGAAACACAAAATGGCACCACTGGACACGGTCATGTCGATGAGGAAACATCCCTTCTTCCACAGCGAGCGCAAAAAGCCCGCCGCAACATTTCAAACAGCATCCGGCACGGAACCCAGCGCATTTCATCTATGTTACCCAAGCGCATCCGACAGAGGCTTATGGCCCCATTTGAGTCCCCGTTCGCCGATGTGGCGATCGCATGCACCGTTATCGGTGTGGTTTTAGGTCTGGTGCCGCAGTTGCATAAAGCATTCTTCAACAAATACGAGGACGGCGGGATTTTCAACGCTTGGCTGACGTCGAGTGTTAAGAACATTGGCAAGTTGTTCACGACGTTCCAGATCTTTGTGGTGGGGTGTAAGCTGGGCGTTAGCTTCGAGAAGATGAAAACTAGCGGTGATTCGGGGCGAATGCCTCTGAAGGCGATTGGGACAATCTTTCTCGTTCGTTTGGTGATATGGCCAGCGTAGGTTTCTCTTGGTATGGGGTTCGCATCACTTTCATATTGCTAACGTGTGATTTTACAGACTTAGCATAGCCGTTGTGTATGGCTTGGCTAAGAAGACCAATATTGTGTTGACTGATCCTATCCTATGGTTCAGTTTGATGCTCATGCCGGCTGGACCCCCAGCGTTGGTCATATCCGGACTGGCTGAGTTGGCTCAGATTTCGGAACTGGAGAAGATGGCTATTGCCAAATCGTTGACTGTAAGTGATGAAACATCTGGGTCACCCGAGTGTTCTCGCGCTAATGCGTGCAGGCGATGTACGTGTTATCGCCATTTGTATGCTTCAGCATCACGGGCGCTCTGAAAGCGTCTCAAGCGGCACTGGAGCAGAGGAACTCCGCATAAACACGGTGCTTTGGGATTGTATATAAAGTCTAGAATTATGTATATATATAAGAGATATAAACATTATTATAGACCGGTTAAAGAGAGTGTATGTATTAAGTAGTATTCAATACAAGGTCCAAAATGACGCTTAGACAGTACTCCAATTCATTTGCATCCCCTTTCATTCAATATCATAGGCTTGAACCGGATTCATCGCAAGTAGCCAAGTGCGGGCGAATGATTTACTTCTTTGCAAATAATCAGCGTCATATAAAACCCAATCATCTATAGCTATACTTACTCCGCAGTTCTTGCACTGGCAGGCCTCGCCACAAGTGCAGCTCTGGGGACCGGAGCAGCCGCAGGTATTTCCGCAATCACAGGCCATCGTGAAATCTCAGGTAACGTTGCAGATAGTATATGTAAGATGCAGCAGTAATAGAGTAGATCCGTGCAGATTATAGCTTGACGTTGATCTTCAATAACCTCATGTTGTTGAGTGGTTCGCCAGATTTATATAACCCGCAGCGGCAACAAAATGTGGGGAAACCGAATAAGCATCATGATGAGATCAGAGACCATGATCTTTTTGTTTTTCTGTCATACTTTTACAGCATTGACCCATTCTTACGATTGGACATTTGTTCCGTCATTGTGTCGGCCGAGTTTCAGTTTCCCCATTTGTCGTGTATTAACCATGGGTTGTAGGGTTACTACTACTTGTACTACTAGACTGACGTCGCGTCTAGAGCTCCACGTACGAAAGCAGTATGGGGAGACGATCGGGTTGTTCCGGAGATACCGTCTTGGTAGAACTCAAGAACTTGTATGATAAAACATAATCTTCGTTCCGGAAACGTCCTTTTCTAACGGCCCTCAAGATAGCACTAAATTACTGTAGACCGCTATTATGACTCTTCCCCCGCGGGAGAATGGGCTTTCTCCTGCATTGATTGTCCCCACCAGAGTCAACTTCAGTGGTACCAGATGGCTTGACTCCACCGTTGACGTGGGTTTCAGGAGTTCTTGACAGGTACAGTTGCAGATTAGGAGATCGGGTAGCAGCAGTTTGAGTGATATCCTGCGGGGCAGAATGGGTTTAACATCCACATATAATAATTAAGAACTAAAAGGCATACATACTGAGTACGGAGTAGGTTTATTGACCGGCACACACCCATAGTTGGCATACTTCAAGTGGATCACCTGAAGTGCTCAGCAATGATATGATACTAAGATAGGAGGAGCACATGAAGCGGGTCAACCACTCATTTGACAGGAATTTCTTTTTTTCTCCATTTTTACCTTTTCATGTCTGGTCTCAAACATCCCTGAGATGGTCTGGTGCAGGTGATGCGTTGGTATGTCGTTGATCGTTGGCCCGTTTCGAATGTCCCCTTGAATACCCGTTCATTAGCCTGCGATCGAGGCTTTAGTATCCTTGCTTCCACATCAGTCTCTCTTTAGGTGGTTTAGACTTGAATTATTGAGCTACCTTGATTTTCTTTTTCCTATTCTTACTCTGGCGTTTAGAAAAGGGGAGTATTGTCAGCTGGATTCATGACCAGTGTTCAGATGATGGTCTCCTTATCTGGACTTTGAGATAGAAGCCGATTAATTCGCGCACTTGGGTTACATTACTACTAGTAGGTACGGAGTAATGGGCTTTGCGTTTCAAGGTGACTAGTAAAACCTCCAGGAATATTTTTGCACTACAAAGGTGAGTAAGTCGAAGCTTTCTATCTCTCTCTATATACTTCCAGGTATACTTATCTGTCCTGGAAACTGTCATGGAATAATATTATTATAGTAATTCCCCAGTACTGGATAGGGTTACCTGCTAGATCCTGGTCTAGTAGTAAAGGGACTATGAACTGGGAAAAGAACGGGAAAAATGACAGAGATTACACAGTGGAAAATCAATAAATAAATAAGAGGTGTGGTGGACAAATGCATCAAACGGTACCTAATCTATTTTATTGGAATTAAATTATTTAAAGCCAAAAGCAATGGATGTCGTGACTTCCTCGCCCCACGGAGTTTAGAATAAGAGAAGCCGCCGATGTTCTTCAACCTCGACTCTCCAACTTCTGTCGCTTTATCCACCAACATCTCCAGACCCTTTGCTCTCCCCCCTTGTCTTACGGTTTCATGTTTTGATACTTCACAAGTATCTTTAGACATTTCCTCCTTTACGATCGAAACCCCACGACTTCTCCCGACGACTTGGCGCCTTCCGCCCGGGTTCTTACCTCAACCCCCCCAGTGTTCCCCAAGTCCGATAAGACCTCCGCCCGTCGATTCTAGGAAATTCTTACCTTCTACCCACCACCAGAAGCTGTAACAAAGCAATATCTACCTTCTATCTACCGAGCCTAACTTGGTCGACTCACGGAAGCCAAGAATTGACGGTTCTTCGGCCTGTGACGAGCTTCAACATTAGGTCTGACCTGAGGCAGTATCAGTGACCCCCCACTGATATAGGTCTGCTCCCCTGGTTCTTCTACAGAGCCAGGTGAAAGGGCAGATCTACCAAGCATTCGATCTGGCAGACCATCCCTTCGCCTATATACCCTCCTCCACCGCTCCCGACCGCCCTGACCCTCCTATCCCCTCCGAACCTACGTCGTCCTACCCGAGAAGCGCTGCCGCTTCCGATAGCATCCTGTCGTCATCCCGCTCAGATCCCTCCGTCGACAGCTCCTACCCAGCCGTCGGTGCTACTGGAAATTTCTATCTGTCATCCACCCGCCGCCGCCGTCGCCGCCCGAGTACCCCTGGCGTATCTGGATCCAACATCGAGGGAGCAGGAGGTCTTACCGGAGATCATACGGCAAGTGAAGCCGGTGTCTCAGAACAAAGTATCGTACACACAAATACCGCAGAGGGCCACTCGCCGTCCCCCAAGCGAAGGCGCCTGACAAATATGCGTCCCGATGGGGTTTCAAGTGCAAATGGTCCCTCCCACGTGTCTAACGGCTCCGTTGCCTCGCCGTCTCACAAGGTGGGTCTTTCCCACTCCTTGAACGGCCAGGCTTCGTACGCTTCCTCTAACGGCGACCTTCATACGAATGGAGTACAGAAGTCCTCGGTTAGCCCTCCATCCTATTTCGGACATGACCGCGAAGAAGTGACGCGCATCCTCATTCAAAGTTTGTATGAGCTCGGCTATAATGGAGCAGCTTCACTATTGAGCAAGGAGAGTGGCTATCAGTTGGAGAGCCCGGCAGTTGCTACATTCAGAGGTGCAGTACTTGCAGGACGTTGGGCGGAGGCGGAGCGAATTTTGGTACAGTCGTTCTATCCGGATGGGACGAGGCGGGGGACGAGCGGCGACGGTGACCACCTTCCGACGAAGGAGAGGTTGGTATTGGTGGAAAATGCGGAAATGAATGAGATGCTCTTCTATTTGCGACAACAGAAGTTTTTGGAACTGCTAGAGGCTCGTAATCTTTCTGCGGCTCTGACCGTTCTTCGGCATGAGTTAACGCCGCTTAATTATGATATCGCGCGTTTACATGCTCTATCCAGGTGAGTGGCTCTTAAGACCACAAGTCTCGTTTCTCCGAAGCATTTAGACTGACACGGACGACAGCCTTCTTATGTGTCCTCCGGAACATCTTCATGATCAAGCCGGCTGGGATGGTTCGATAAGTTCTTCTCGTGAGAGATTGTTATCGGAGTTATCAAGTACGTTGTTTCCGAAAATCCATGGCGTCAATAAATCTTATGGCCGGGACTAACAGCAGACATAGAATCTATATCGCCGTCAGTCATGATTCCTGACAACCGTCTCGCGATATTACTGGACCATGTCAAGCAAAATCAGATCAACCAGTGCTTATACCACAACACAGCAAGTCCGCCATCGTTATATTCTGATCACATGTGCGATCAGGCGGACTTTCCGTCTCGACCGGGGATCGAATTAAGTCAGCATTCGGATGAGGTCTGGTACTGTCAATTCTCCCATGATGGCACAAAGTTAGTCACGGCAGGCCGCGACCACAGTGTCATTATCTACGACACCAGCACTTTTGCTGTGCTGCATAAGTTGATGGAACATGATGACGGTGTTGCGCATGCTTGTTGGAGCCCGGATGACTCTAAACTCATTACTTGCTCTCAGGATAAAACGGCCCGTGTGTGGAGTGTAGATGTAAGTTTCTCTTCTTACAATCCGGACCCTATTGTGACTAACTGTTATACAGACTGGGCGATGCCTATTGACCATTAATCACCATCGACAGCCAGTTACCGCTGCAGCCTGGGCTGCAGACGGGGACTCTTTTGTGACCGCCTCTCTTGACAAAGGCTCGCACCTATGCCATTGGAGTATGCGCGGTCATGCTCTGCACATGTGGCAGGGTGACTTCCGCGTACAGGATTGTGCCATCACGCCTGATGGACGACGCCTCATCGCTGCCGATATTGAAGAGAAGATCCATGTGTATAACTTCCTCACCCACGAAGAGGAGTATTGTCTGGCTTTGAAAAGCAAGCCCACATCGGTTGCAGTCAGCAAAGATTCCCGCCACATGCTTGTGAACTTGTCAGAGGGTCAAATACAACTCATTGATATTGACACGACCGATGTAATCCGGCGTTTTCAAGGACAAAAACAGGGTTCTTTTGTCATCCGGAGTGCTTTCGGAGGAGCTGCAGAGAATTTCGTCGTCAGTGGAAGCGAAGGTAAACTCGTTCTGCGTCAATATTTGCTCATGTCTCTTCACTAACTGTTCTAAAGATTCTCGAGTTTATGTATGGCATAAAGAAAATGGAACCCTGGTAGAAACTCTGGAGGGCCACATTGCTGGGTGTGTAAACGCAATCTCCTGGAACCCTACAAATCCCGGATTGTTCGCTTCTGCAGGAGATGATTGCTTGGTTAGAATGTAAGCCTCCATCAGTCTTCTCTTTTTTCAGCTTCGAAACTCACAAGTTCAGTTGGACCCGGGAGCGCGACGCGAACCCTCACACTACGGCTCGGACACAGCGAGCGACATCGGCAAGCGGTTTCGCCCGCACGAGTGCTCTACGATCAACATCGAGCTTCTAACGAACTCCCGCTGGAAGAAGCCTATTGTTACCATTTTTGAAGATTGATTATTTGTGCATATCACGGGATGTACTGGGAGCTTTTGGACTCAAAAGACAGGCTTTTCTTTGTTATGCCTTTAGTTCCTGCCCTTTCAATCTTTCCCGAACCTTTCTGCATATACACATTTCCTGGTCCTTGGTGGTCCGTTCTGGCATTACTGATTGATACGTGATTTCCATTTGCGCTTATTGAGCAATAATTAATTGCCCCTGCCTTGCACTGATGTGTTGGGGACGGCACACATCACATATGGTTTCCTTTTTTTAGTTTCTCATCACATACACAGGTTACACGGTGCTTCTTAGGGTTCGCTTTTTACTTCTCGTTTGGGTGATCTGGAAGGTTCGGACAACATGCGGGATTGGGCTGGTGTGAGTGGGATTTGCTTGGTTGTTCTTCATTTCTTCTCTTTATCTATCTCTCCTGTCTCCACAATTTGTTGGTTTCAGCATACCACCATCTTACTCTGATTCCACTCTCCATTGGTAGAGTCTGCATCATAGGTGCTTTATATATATAAATAAAGTCAGCTTGGTCTGCCTGATGAC